CCTTCCCTCCCCGTAAAGCTGTCGCATCTCACAAGGATACTAGGCCGCCCCTCCTCTTCCACATACAATGGCTTCACCCACCGGCTGCCACCTTGCCCAGGCCCCAACGGTGGGGCCACATACTTATTGCTGCCAGAGGCGACCCCCACTCCACCCCCTCCCTTCGTTCGGGCCCGCTTTCCCCTTGGCGGTGCATTCCCACCCTTGCCGCCGGCCACGCGCTTCACCTCGCTTCCAGAGGCGGCCCCCGATGCTATCAACGGGCCCCCCGGTGTCGCCACTAGCACAGATGCAGCCCCCACTCTGCCGCTGTTTGACGCACCCTCAGGATCCCTAGCCGGTGATAGCCTTTCAGATACCCCAATAGCTGGCAGCTATCACAGGTTCAAAGCCCCCACCGCATTGGGTTCCGGATCCGAGTCCCCCAAGTCCCCCGTCATAATATGCGCATAGTCAAACAGGTCCGGGAGTGGGGCTCTGCTGCCAACGGACGCCCCTTGGCCTTCCCCCCGTGTTGCTGCCACCGCTGTCCCCGCATGCCCCGATCCCTCACCTTGGGGGGGGGGGCGGTGACCCCCTTTCCGGGCGCCCCTCTGTTTGGCCCCGGGCATCCCTTGCCTCACATTGTGGGGCGCCACCTTGGTGACGTCGGGTTGGGGGGCAGGACTCCCCAACCTTTACAAGCTGCCGCCACTACATCTGCTTGGTCTTGCCATCCATCGATCCATCGCAACAAGCACAAACTGCATAGCAGGGGGTCAGGGACACCACGTTTGCGGACCGTGGGGCGTGCGGCCCACACGTCAATTCTGATCGCAACATTTTTATTGGTCCATGCATGAATTTGTTGTTATTATGTACTATGAAATGGACTCTGGAACGGGCTCTAGGACAGCTTGGAACGGCCTTCGAAACGGCCTGGAATGGACTCTGGACTGGCTTGGGACGGATTCTGGAGTGCCATGGGTAGTACAAGAACGGACTCCTAGGTGGGCCGTACTGCCCCAGAACGGAATTGGGATGGCTGCACACCATTCCAGATCCATCCCAGTCCGTTCCACCCTAGGGACAGGGCCGTTCCTTGGCCGTTCCTGGGCCTGCCGGCCCAAGGATGGGAACGGACTCTGGTCCGTTCCCGTTCCTGTCCCTGTCCTCGTTCCTAGTCCGTCCCCGTTCCGGGATGGCCCACATCTGCCAATAGCTGCCAACCAAGGTCTGCCAACCAAAGGAACAAAGATATAGGTGCCCCACCATAGCCCTCGGTCAATGGCAAAGGGGCGCCATCAAGGCACCAAGCAAACAGGCGGGGCGGAGCATCAAAAGAGTCTACCTCCGCATCCGTCCATGCCACCTGCCGGTGTGCATCCCACAAGCTAGCATCTGCTTTAGAGCCTGGCACACGCTCCGCCGGAGCTCGGAGGCCCAGCGAGGAGTCGCAACCGCTGCTACTGCAAACGCCTTGATCGAGAAGCGTAGCAGCAGCAACGCCCTTGCCATTCTCTAGATCCATGAAGATTCAAACGCAAGCCTTATCTAGTGGTCAGGCAGGCTGACGCCCGAGGCATCAACCCGCTCAAGCGGCATGGCGACTGGCCCTTTGATCGTTTCCCACAACTCCCTTTGCTCCATGACCAAACGGCCATTGCGCTACGGCAACCACATAACTAGCACGGTTGCTGGAGCTCCCTCGCCGTTTGCAACTGGGTCCAATGGCATAAAGTCGTGGCCCTGGTCCAAGCCTTTCGTTCGAGTCGATTGTGACATGGGGAGCAGCCCAGGGGACAGAGTTCTGCCCGTTCACATATTCTCACAGCGGGTCAAGCAACTCGTTGCACGTCGCACATACTTGCACCACGTGGTCGGATCCCAAAGGGCCAGTTCGGGATGCTCCGTACAACATGTCGACCTGTCAAGCCAATGACAGATACGTCACATTACAATGCGGGTGCGCTATGTATGGCATGTGTCAACATGCCTGCCAGTTGTTTTTGTTTGCCCCCCTAAACGTGCCACATTCCACTAGTGCGACCCACTGACCTTTCAACGACCCAAAATGTACTCCAAATCTCTCTAAACTGTTCCCATCAAAAATGGTTGCAAATTGGAGTCCAGTGACCGTCGTACAAACCCCAGCTCTGCGTCCAATCCGGCCATACGACCGTCAGTCAAATGTGGCTCAAGAAAATGGTCCAATTCTCCAATGTTCCTCAAAAAGCCTACACCATTAATCAAACCGTCGACCAACACCCTGACGGACAACAGATTTTCTTAAGTACTGCATCAAACTCTTTAAGCTTCAATGACGGCCTATGTCTCCAATCTCAAGGCAATACCATTGGGCGACCCTCAACGGCCCAGGGACCATCTTTTGACAATCAAAACATCCCCATACGATGGAATTAACATCCTAAACTATTTTGCACCTATGTCCTGGACTAGAACATGTTCCTAACGCCATTCTGTCCATCCGAAACGCTGCTAATCACAGCGCATGATGCATTGCAGCTTGAACCAGTGAAAGTGGCTGCCATGATGCGTCCAAACTCAGCCAATCTCCTCCTAATTCTTACCAGAATCAAATTGTCCGATTTGGTCGACTTTGTGGCAGCTATTTTAGCTTCCATTTTCATAGATTCTAGTCCAAATTGTCTCCCAGACTGCTGCACAATCCTGTCACCATACGTGCTGCATTTTCTCGATTTTTTAGCAGCATTTCCCCCCCTTTTCTTCTTACTTTCATATTCCAGTATCAATCATAATGTTCTAGTCTATCTTCTATCCATCCCGGCTGCAGTTTGGGAAAATGTCTGCAGCGTTTCCCCTAGATTTTTGTCTTTTCATCACCAGGCCTGTCCCATATATTTATAGTGCTGCTTTAGGACCGCTTTTACATAGTCCTTGAGGCCGAAAAGTGCCTCTTAAAGTATGAGCAGCATTTCTGTGTGGCCTTTGAGTGTTTTGCACTATCTCCATTTTCACCTTTTCCATTTTGGTGCCCCAAAACGGGCTGGCCATGCTCGCTCGCTACTAACCAGTATTGCGCGGTTACTTCAGCGTGCTTTGCGATGTTTCTGCATCGCTGGGCGGCTGTCCATGTCAAGTTGACTGGTCTACGGTGTACTGACACCCAGTCAGTCGCTTTGTCGGTCATGAGCCCGTTCATTGGGTGACGTGGCCCAAAGACTAACGGCGAATCTAACACCTTGTTAGGAACCAAACATGCAGTGTTCAACATGGCTCAAATCATTCGTCGATTTCAATAAGTATAAATAGTGCCAGATCGCTGAAAAGTCGTGCATTTGTGGTGCAAACGACTTTAAGCAGGGAAGCTAGATTGCGTTGTACACAATTCGGCTATTTTGCTGCGAACTGTGTTGCGCCATTCTCCATCATTATCAATCCAAAACGTGGGAGGACATCTATGCAGGAGCATTTTTCAGGGTAAAAAGCAGTGGTAATACCTCCACCAGGAGTCCTAATCAGAACTATCTGTACTATCTAAACCAATATCCTCAAGATATCGTGCTGAAAAAGTATGTAAAAGACAAAATCCAGTTCAGACATTTGTTGCGCGCAATGTAGTGTACTTTGGTGCAGAATATTCTGCCCAATAGGGCAGACACTCGTGAGACAGACCCCCCCCATCCTTGTGCTCAATGTGCTACAATGGGCTCCTCTCGTACGTTGTTCTGAATCCAACGCAATCTCCATGCGTTCACCGTTCCCTCAACCCCTTGGTTTTATCAACGCCTCTGACCGGCAAGGAGAAATCCGCCTGAGAACTCATTTTGCCCACCATTTTCGTGTTGCAAAACATGAAAACGAGCAAATCCACTTGCCCCTTGGCCCTCTGTCTTCCCGCGTTTGCGCCTGCCTGTGCCTTAGTGTGGAGAGTTTCCTCCAGTCTGCCCTGCAAAACGTTATTAGCATCAGGTCGGCAATCACTTGTCTTATGCACAGCATGTGGGCTCACCAACCTATGGACCTCCTTCGCAGAATGAGCACCACGATGTTGCGTCTGATCTCGTTCCCAGCCCCAGCAACAAATCCGCCGCTCTTCATGATGATGCTTCCTAGACATCTTGGTGTTGTCACCACCGCAGAGCAACTAGCTGCACTCCCGTCAAAAAATTCAGGCGCACCACCTGCCTTCCTACGAATCTAAGTCCTGCCGTGTGGTTAGAGATGTTCTCCCAGCATTCGCACAAAATGCGCTGGGCCGTGCTTCGCCGGGATTTTGAGACAAATGATATACAGCCATCTTTCAGTTCAGTTCCATTTCCGAAGCCCACTATAAGTGACTAAAAGACGTCTTCTATCCTACCGTGCCCCCCTCATCTTTCCATCACCTACCACGGGTCAGACAGGCTAAAAATGAACTAAACAACTAAAAACGTCAAAAATTCCGAAAGCTGAAAATAACTATTGCAAACAATCAGATCTGCTTGCAATGCCAAGATCGGCGCCCAAGCTCAAAGGATCTAAATTCAGATTACTCCACACCCTCATGTCCCCTGAGTTCAGATGATTCAAGCACTTCATGCGCATACTACCAACGTACTGTCGTCCATTGTTCTTCTCTCCCCACAGGCAACCGTTGATGCCACCACGGAACCCTGCCTAGCGTGATCTCATGGTGATCTGCTACAACTGCAGCCTGGCAGTTGGCCGCACTTCGCTGTTGCATCGGATGGCTGCAACGGGGATCTTTGGCATCCATCTCTGTCAGACTTTGGCTCCTTGATGTCCGCAGACGCCCTCCGCGAGCGGCCAGCCATGCCACAGCGAAAGCACAAAATACAGGAAGCTGCCCTCAGAACCCATCATGGATCGTGCCAGACACGCGCCAGCACCGAACTGCTGCCTCGCCCGTCCACCCTCCCTAGCCTCCGCATCTGCACGTCCCCTTGCATCAAGGGCCTTGGGACGACGCACTTGGGCACACCGGCCCAGTCAGCCTCCACTGAAGCCCCCCCACCCCCACTTCCCACCCCCTTCTGCTAAGCGCCTTGCGATCCGCCAGAATGTGTTCCATTGATCGCGGTGGGGATTCCAGCATCTGATCTAGCCACCGAGCATTGGATCTGGCTGGTGGTGGCAGTATCCAGCCGTGGTGTCAGCTGGCCAGAATCCGAGAGTGCCTCTGACTCTGAGTCCGAGCTGAGGTCCGTCAGCTCCACGTTAGTGGCCACCACCCACCGTGGGCCCTGCCTGCTTGGTGCCTGAAGCCCTGCACCCACCGGTCCCTGGGGCCCACACACTACCAGTCCTTGGGGTCCACTCCCGGCCAGTCTTTGGGCCACTCCTCCGCCCGGTCCCAGGGGCCCTCCTTTGCAAGGTCCCTGGGGCCCACACTGGCCTTCGTTTTGTGGCTTGCTCTGGAGTAGGCTGTCGTTGGGTATGGCCTCGTCCTCAGCGGGCTTGGGCTCTTGTGGGGAGGGAATGATCCGCTTCTCTTGGGGGGTGCCATCCTCTCTTCCGTTTCGCGATTGCCACTGGGGTGTCTGGGGTGGCTTGGGACTGGCGGCCTCTACGCAGACAGGCACTAGCGAGTCTGAAAGGTGGGAGAACAGCGAGTTTACACCGCTGTAAATTATTGTATGGAAGAAATTGGCAAGAGCTCCGTTTTCTTCACTGAAAGTCATCGGATTGTGCCATAATGAGTTCTTAGAAGTCGCAATAGCAAGAACTGAACATTTTTCCAATCTGTGCCCAGCGCAAAGTCAAAGTCACTCTTCCGTTCAAATTGAACACCGTGCAAAATTGTGACATAACAGACAATGCTTCGTATTTTTGTGTTCCTCAGTGGGCGCTCCCTCCTAAATGCGTGCTCCAAAGCATTCGAGGAACTCCTGCGTGGGCACACTACTCTCACTTTTCCGGGCCAGCGCAGCTCGACGCTCACAACCCTTGATCAAGTCAGGTCCCAGCGCGGCTTCGCCACACCGGCGGAAACAACACGCCACCGCACCTCTAGAGCGAGGCGGCGGCAGCGCGATTGACCTCTCGCGAGCGAACGGCCTGTGCAGGTTGGCGGATATGCTGGTCGCCCCGGCGTCCGCGCGCTGCCGATCCTCCGCCCCCTCTTCCTCCTCCTCGATGATGCGATAGCAGGCGGTCTGGGCGTGGGCGCCCGCCAGGCGCGCGAGCCGCTCGAGCAGGGCCTGTGCGTTGGGCCGCCGCGACCGGTCGGGGTCCCAGCACTCCCGTATGACGGCGGCGACGTCGTTGGGGCAGTGCAGCGGCAGCGGCGGCCGCGAGCCCGCCACGACGTCCGCGGCCATGTCCCGCTGCGACTTGGTGCAGTAGGCCTTCCTGCCGGACAGGAGCTCCCACAGCAGCATGCCGAACCTGGCGGACAGCATTGCTGAAGTTCATCACGTGCCGACCATCTTATGACCACATATATGACCATCCCATATGACAATATATCGTTACAACAGGAATACAAATGCAGGTGAGGAAACCCAATGATATCATTGGGCTTCCTCACCTGCATTTTGTATTCATGTTGTAACGATGTGTCCTGTTTGGTTTGGAGGAAGGTTAATGCATTGGTTCAGCAAATGCACAGGTACGATGGAAAACAAATTTCCTTGCATTTCTCTTGACACAAAGAGATGAACGAATTCAAGAGAAACGTGCCAGGTTGCAACAGCAGCATGCCTAGCATGGAAAAAGTGAAACCATTGGCACGTCATTACACATATCACCCATTCTACGTGCGCCATTTTGTGTATTGTTTGATATTTTATGTATTGTGTGATGAATTGGTAACAAATCCCTGCAGAGTTGACCAATACATGTACATATCGTTGCGTTTTCCACTTATTTTTTAGGTTCCAAACATCAGATTTTTCATGTGCTGCCACCCTGAACTTTTGAAAAATCGCATCAGAAACGGTGAGAAGACTGCATAATTTGTCTCAGTCTTAACGCTGTCCAGCAACAACACTAGGAAAAGAGAGCCAAATAACACGTGTTCAAACGTGTACAAAGTTTACGGGTTTGTGTTATTTTTGTGTTCTTAGCGTGTAGAACTTTGATGAAATGTGTTTTATGTGTGTTCGAAAAAGTGTTATTTAGTCCTTTTTTCCCTAGTGTTTGTTAGTTTAGTGCTTGCAAGCAGCCGACTAATCAGGTGCCGACCATGAACTCAATACTACAATATCAACAAGTTCCGCAAGCGCTCGCGTATCTCCGCGGCACTCACGAGTAAACGTCCGCCGCCGGCGTCAGCAGGCCGTCCCTTAGCAGCTCCGGCGCGCAGTACCTCGCGCTGCCGCACGCGGACGCCCCCGCCGCCCCCCCAGCCGGGCCAATCCGCCTCATCCCGAAGTCCGCGACCTGGCAGTAGAAGCCCCGGCTGTCGGACAGGTCCGTCTTCAGCAGCACGTTCTCGGGCCTGAGGTCCCCGTGGACCACGCCCCGGCCGTGCAGGTAGGCCAGCGCCGCGACCACGTCCACCGCGCACAGCAGCACGCTGGACAGCCGCGGCACCAGCTTTTCCCTGTCGTAGAAAAACAAGCCGTCCACGATCGCGCCGTGCAGCGAGCCCCGGTCGCAGAACTCCGTGACGATCCAAGTCCTGGGCCCGCCGGCCCCATGCCTCCGCCCCTCCAGGTATCCAAAATCATCTGGATCCAAAGCATCTCGCACGCCCAGATCCGCCAGGGGATCCTCGCCCTCTCCCGGGGGCCCGTCCCCCAACTGCGGCAGGGACACCTCCACGCTCTGCCGCCCGCGCGTCTCGTTCACGTACGTGCGCACGAGGTTGGGGTGGCGCGCCTCCACGCCGATGCGGGCCTCAAGGGACTCCTCGTTCACGGCCAAGCCTTCCCCGTCGTGGTCCACAACCTTGACCGCGACGTCCGCGCCGCGAAACGAGCCCAAGTACACCCTACCGGCCGCCCCGACGCCCAGCAGGCCCCTCAGCTCGATGGCACCCAGAGACAGACCCTCTATGCTGCAGGAGTCCTTCGCGGGGACCTCGTCGGCGCTGCTGGAGGCGCGCAGCCGGGTCAGCCCGGCCCGCCGCGGGCCCCAGGCGCCCAGGACCTTGGGGCCCAGCCACATGAGGAGCAGCAGGACGGCCAGGCAGCCCGCGGCCGCAACGGAGGCGGTTTGGCTGGCGTGCAGGCCCGCGCTGAGGACACCCTCTCGCAAAATCCCGCAGGCGCCAAAACCGGCGGCTTCCAGGAGAGCAGACAATCGCCGGTCGTCCCATCGGTCGCCGCCCAGGCACTCACCATCGGCGTCGCACCCCTCCGGCGCGCAATTCCCGGTAACCGTGCCGGAAGCGTTCACCTGCACTGTGCAGTTCCGCGCCAGACGCACCACCCCTGGACACCCAGGCCCGGAGGAGCTGCGCAGCGTAGGCCCCCCTCGACCCCTCCCCATAAAAATGGGCTCCGATGCTTCCGTCCCTCCCCCGCCGTTCCCTTCCCCGCGCACAACGGCGACGTCCCGCAGCTGCAGCTGCGCCACCGGCCCCCCCGCCGATCCCACAAAGGCGAAATCGTCTCCTCCTTCGCTCCGGATCAGGACCAACTCACGCATGCGCATCACGACGCCCGGGCGCAGCAGGATTGCGCCGATCCTGGCCCCAAAGTCAATCGCGGCCGCTCCCTGCAGAGTCGCGGACTTGCTCACGACCACGCGACCCCCGTCCTCGTCGCAGTCCAGACGTCCCTCGGCGGAAATCACCCGGGGTTGAGGGGAGGAGGCAAGTAGAGAAAAGAGCTGGTGGCAGTCCCGGGCGACGGGCCGATAGCGGGGAGGAACGTCCCTCCCAGACGTCGGCTGGACGGAAGAGGAGACGAGGAGGGCGAGAAGGAACGGAGCCGCCAGCGTGGTTCGTCGGCGGGTCGCGGCCGGTTCGTCGGGCGTTGTTCTCGGAACGGGGCCCATCTCGAGGCCCCCCTTTGACGGTCCTCTGGCGGGGTCACCGGGGAAGGTGTGGGGGAATCATCTGCCGGCAGGAAGCCCGCCTGAGGTGGTCGGCTGGAAGCACAAAGCGGGCTGTCCCTGGGCAGCACAAAAGAAACTGCATCGGCTGGGCTGCAGGCAGAAATTCAAGACTACAGCTCGGTTGGCTGCGTGGGAGGTGTGGTGCAACCACAAGGCATCACAACACCAAACAAAAGCGAGATTCAATCATAATATGATATTTGATCATTTTGACAAATGCCACAATGCTACGTTGCAACATGGGGAAATGAGGAAGGGGAAATGGTCTTGGCTATGTATACACAGCTATTGCCGTATCAAATCAAACCATGCCCCCAGTCCTCCCACAAAAATATTCCACAGATCAAGTCACGCACCCAACTCTGCAGCAAATTCCAAAAGTCTAATTTTGAGAGAGCATGGCAGGCCTTGTTTTACAAGCATCGAAGCAATTTGTGGATGACAGACAGTGAGCCCATATCTTACGTGCACCCCGACAACCCATGCACCCCTTACACCCTGTGCTCTTCTGTGTTCAGGATCGGTTTCTACAACTTTTGCACAATCGAAAAGTGCAATTGTTTGCTGGGGCATCATCGGTCTTACATCCTCCATAGCAAAGCATAGACAGCACCTATAGAAAAGACAAAACACGGCTCTCGCACACACAAGGCGATGTGAGACAGGTTGCTGCACACAGAATTACTATGATGGAATCTCTCTAAAAGTCTGCTCCAGTGGTTCGCTGGCAGCCCTGCTCTCTTGCACTGGCATGTAGGAACCCCTTGTTGACCTTTCAGCAGTGCAAGAGGCTCTCAAATCCCTTCACCATTCCAAATGCCCTAGCTCAAGAGCCAGTTGCAATCAGGACTGGTGTGCCTCATCCACTTACTGGATATCAAAGAAACGTGGTAAGAAACAGTATTGTGAGCAGGGAGCACCAGTGCAACTAGCGCAGGATACTGGGTTCTGGCAAAAACTTACTAATGCATACTTTCCCTTGCATAAGATTCTGAGAGTGGTTATGACAAGTCAACTTGTAACTATTTGACAGGTGCCAAAGCATTTGCACCAAAAATTTTGAGGATTAAGATTTAAATCTGGAATCTATTTAAATATAATTTAGAGTTTAAAGATTTAAAGCTGCAGGGTATCTCACTATCTCAGCATTCCATGGAATAGTTGCCTCTTCTCCTGTAGGACATCTTTTCAGTGCGTTTCGCTCTTTCTCGGTGGGGCTTATATTGTAGCCCGTTTTGTCGCTTGTGACCAGGTGTTCTGCGCCAAGGGGCTGGCTCTGGCACGTGATTCAAGGATATGGCTAAGATCTTGGCCCTTGTATGGGCACAGGTAAGTGGACATGGACACAACTGGTTGCTGCCTGCATTGTCCGTGGCCCATCTGCAGCGGCACTGCCATGACAGTTCCTTATTTGCGGATACTTTTCCGACGAACAACAAAAGTCATCAATTGCACATCTGGTAGAATGGCAGAATTATGCACATTGAAGGGGGCCCGCCAGCGAATGCCAGTCACTTGTCGCTACTCTCCCTCCAGTGGCAGGTAGAGCCCTGGCTGTTGGTTTGCTGTTTTCGGAAGGTTTGGCCCCAAGCACAGTTCCACCGTGGGCCCTGGGGTGCTCGCGTTCCCTTGGCACACACTAGGCCAAGACCCCTTAGAATTCCGCATGCGGGTAAACAGCGGTCGAAAAGCAAGGTTACTAATGCGGGGTCGGTATTGCGTCCAGAGCGCCGGGCAGTTTGCAACCGCGAGTCTGCTCTAATGGGTTTTCTGGCGGTGCAAGAGCGTCATGCACCGCGCCATCGCCGCAAAAGCGAAGTGCGCCTGCCGCGGGTGGGTCAGTGACAATTCGGCAAAAGACATTCTGGCAAAAGAATGGAAGCCGCATCGAGGGGGGCAAAAGTGGGACCACCGCCGGTTGTCACAGCAGCCTGACGGGCACAAGCGCGTCTTCGGCGGCCGGCACCAAAACCAACTGCGAACTTGTGGCTGGGCCAAGGGGCCGCTCTGGCGGCTGTGGAAGCGTTGGGGTGGACGGGTGGCGTTGTAGACACACGACCGTGGGCGGATTCCAGCTGGAATCCTTGCAAAAGGCACTCAGCTGCCAGGCATTACGCCCATAAACTTGGCGCAATGGCCAGACCTTGGTTGGCCGTGGCTGGAGGGATGGACACACCATGCAAAAGGTGCGACAGAAGTCAAACGGTCGGCAACTTATAGAGCTCACTGTACGCGCCTTTCAGGGTGCAAAAACTGGCAAGGATCGTGGGCCCAAGCCCGCCAAGATCTGGTGCGTTTTGGCACAAGTATTCGCACAAGCATTCGCAACCAATTCGCAGCCAAGTGGAGAATTGTCGTCAAGTGATGGAACGGCCAGCGAAGCTAGCCAAGCGCAGGCTGTGAAGCCCATGTTTCGAGTGGAGGGGCTCAGAGCGCCCTCGCATGAGCAAGCACGTGCATCCCCCCGTGCCCAAAACAGCACACCCCTAGGACCAATGGATGCCATTGCCCTCGATCGCGCAGGTCGGCCTTTCCGATCTCGATTCCGGGCGCCACGAAACGGCTGCTACGCCGCGCCCCTCGAAGAGAAGGGCAGTTCCCTGCCCTGCGTTCCGCTGCCGCCTCGCTCGCTCCAGGCAGACTGTGCTCCAGACCGGCGGCCCAAGTCCGCACCGTATCGGTGCAGTCAGCCGTATCACGATTTGAGGTGGCGGCACTTTTCGTCAGTTTTCACAGTTTCCGATTCTAGAGCCAGAGTGTCTATTGCCAAATTGCCACTGACCCGCCGCGGGCGCCGGGCTTCAACGAAAGTAATCTGCCTTACCAACGCAGCTGCTCGCTGCCGCAGTCAGCCAATCTCCTGGAGATTGACAGGCGCCAACCACGACGCGCAATCACGCATGCATAAAAAAAAGCCCACGCCTGTCCGCCGACAGCACCAGCAAAGGATGACAACCGGTCCAGCTCCCGGCGCCCTTGGGCCGCGGGGCCGCCACAGCGGCACGTCGCTCCGAGGCTCTAGCCTGGGCCACTCGGCCCCAACACATCACGCTGGTGTCCATCCACACCAAGCCCGCCCGAACCGCCCATTTTCCCAGTCACGAACACGTCGCACTCGGCGCCCGGCCCCAGGGGCCCTGAGCCGTACCCGGTCAACCGAGTTCCCGCCGCGCTGCGGACAAGCCGCTGCTTAACGGGAAGCCTCGGCCGTGCGTCTTCCCGCCCTTTGCATCTGCGCCCGCGCGCGTGGCCTGCTGCATGCATGGCCAGCAGGGAACAAACGCGCAGGGAGACAAGAAAAAACCAGGATTTCTTTTCCTGGACACTCAGATTGGCGCCCCTGCGAGGAGAGACGATGCGGCCAGCGGGATGACAACGGAGCGTAGAATCCGGACGCTGATCAGCTGGCTACGCCCTCAGTCGATAACAATCCGTCGATGAAGGGAACAATCAAGTTGCCGCGCACGCCGGACCCCGCTCGGAGCCCCTAGGGCCCTTGGAGCCGTCGTCACACAGCGTCGCCATAATATCCCACTTTGGCTGCATCCCACCCCGCTCCAGAGAACCCCTGGATCCCCGCGCCGTGCGAGGCCAGCCTCGGCCGCTGGCCCCGGGGCCCATGCCCGAGATAGAGACAGTCATCCCCCCAGGCGCGGCATTTTTGCCCGCGGCAGTTTTCTTCCCTGCGACCTTTTTCCCGTCGAGGCGTCCGGCCATTTGGCACCCGCCCGCGGCGCTCCAGCCCCTCCCCGCCCCGAAGCCGCGGTCCGCGGGTCCCAAACCTGCAGGGGATCTGGCATGGCGCCCATTGCCACCCGCTGGTGCGCAAAAAAATACCTCGCCGATCGCTCGCCTGGGGCGCGTCCCGGCCGGCTGGCGCGCCGGGGCCCGCGGGGCCCAAGAACGCCCGAATCCCAGCGCCGGCCGCTCCCCGCGCAGAATGGCCTCCGTGGCTCGCTGGGAGGCGCGCTGCCGCTCAACCCGCACCCCATGTACTGCGCAGGGCAAACTTTGGCAGACGCCGGCCAAGGAGGACAATCTATCCACAATCCAACGAGGACCAAGCCGAGAACAGGACAATCTAACGGTAATCCGGCCAAGGCCGGTCAAGAAGGGCAATCTATCGGTACCATTGGTTTTCAAACCCACCCGCACAGCAACGTAACGCTTGACCTTTTTCGCGGAGAAAGCAATAAATAAATAGCGCTCTTTTAATAAGTTTTTTGCCGAGCAACACAAAATAATAAAAAAATAGCTCTTGGAAGAACAGAATTCGGATCAAAAAGGGCATAAAATTACTCCCCGTTCTTGTTTGCTGAATTTCGGTTCTTGTTTTCAGACACCCTAAACCCCAACTACTGATCCACGCACCGGGACTGGCCTTGTCAGCGGAACAAGAACCGAAATTCAGCAAACAAGAACGGGGAGTAATATATTCTCGTCCTCCCCGCCCGGTGATACGTGTGCGTCATGCGAGCAGATTTCGCGTTGCCGTGTCGCATTCGCGGGCCCAACTGCCGAAGCCCTGGGCGTCTGGCGCCCTGCCAAAGGCCCGGGCTGGCGGGGTGGCCCGGCGGTGGACCGACGCGGGAGAAGGTGCGCGGCCTGACTGGGAAGTGGGGGAATGTGCGGCAGCGGCTGCGGGGTGCCGGGCTCCCGGCACGCCACTGTGTCGGAGTGGGAGGTTTACGAATGCGGGGAGGTCGCAGGGCAGCGAAGGGACGGGGCGGCCGTTGCTCCGCGCACGGTTGGCTGGGGCCTCGCCCGAGGGGAGTGAGGAGAGCGGGGCCGGCTGCCTCGATCGCCTCGGGCGCCTCAACGCCGCTTGAAAGGGAATTTGGCGGCGCCCTCGTGAACATGTCTACGGCCGTCCCACGCTGGTGGGAATGGGATCGGTTACTGGGCAACCCAGTGTCGTTGCTTCTGGGCTCGCCGACGCT